AAATAATGAACTTACTAGTTGGTTCACACTTAGATAGTTAGACAATGCTGTGTTCTCTATCCAAATTGCATAATATATATTTAAAAAATTGAATGAGAGAATTACACACTTCCCAGCCTCCCTTAGTACCTTGTTCACCTAGCAGCAAAGTAAGTACCTGCTGTAATTCGAAAGTTGCGAATTCGTATTCAGGGATAGTTGTTGGAGCTTCCAATAACTAGCTTTAGATATAAACCATTGACTCTTCAGGCTTCTACACCCTGGACTCTTCAGGCTTCTACGCCCTTGACTCATGAGACATAAGGCAAGCATGAACTTAGCATGCTTCCCTGTTGGGCGCTGTAAACGCTTCTGCGCTTCACCTTACACAAGGATGTGGGAAAAGCTATATATATGTAATAATGAAGCATTACAAGTTAATGGTTCAGTAATATCATATACACGCTATGCAAATGATATTGCTCTGATGTCATTTAGTAAGGAGGCATTTAAAAAAAATAGTTAAGAAATTTTCTCTAAAGAAATCATAACAAGATTAGAGCAAGAAAAAACATAATTTAATAATCTAAAAGACGGAATAAAAAGAGACATTAATTTCAATTTGAGAAAGAGGCTGCTGAAAGGGTTTATATGGTAAGGACTGGTGTATGGGTCAGATGTGCACAGATTTTCAGCAGCCACTGTAGGTTATGTATCTATGCTACTGTGCCGAGTAGCATTTATATATGTAATTACGTGGCAACACTGCACGTGTTATGTGGCAACATTGCCCTGAGGCTGCCATATGGCAAGGCAGTCTCAGTCTGACTCTGTGGGCCGTGCATGGCACACGCTAGTCACCACTTGTATTTCTCCTATCCGTTAATAAATGGACTTCAGTGTTACCCGGTGTTTCCCTACCCATCACTGCCTTCTTCAGGGAACACTTGGAACCTTCATGGCACAGTGAGTAGGATGTGTGGACTTACAAGTGTGTAAACAATGGACAGTTAGCCGGCGATGTGCGACTGCCGCACGTCGACTCTTAGTGTGTTGTGTTGTGTTGCATTGTGTTTCGCTGCGACGTGCAGTGTTGCGCCGTCACAGTGCGTTTTAGTGACGGTGGCTGTTAGTGTCAGTGTATTAATGTGTCTAGAGCTGAGAGTTGAGTATTGGCCTGTCTTTTGTGGTACCCACGTAGCACGCAGGCGCACACCCTTCTTGTGTGACATCTGGGGAGACACTGACCTTCTTGCCTCCTCGGCTCCAGCCCACGATCTGCTCTCTCAGACACACACACACACACACACGCATGCACGCACTCACGGACAGAACAGTGGACTCTATGTGTTGTTTCTGCACTGTTTATGTCATGTATATGTGGTTCGAGCTGATGAGGCGCCACTTTATATACTAAACAGCGCAGTTCAAGCATACTAAGATGGGCGGTAAGAAGGGACAGCGTCAAGATGGGAGACACGACTCCCCACCACCTTCCCCTCCACCGGGTGCAGACTCTCATCCTCCACCTCCAGCGACGGACATTGCCACAATTCTGAGGTGGATGGACGACAGAGACGAGAAACACAGAGAGATGGAATTTCAGAGGGAGGAGATACGAAGAGAGGAGGAAAAGGCGCGTTTTGATGCACTATTGGCAACCCTGGCGCTAACCCACCCTCCCTCACTCGCAGGTATCACGCACCAAGGCGCCAATACCCTCCCTCCTCCACCACACCAGCGTCCTCCAGGTACTCTTGCTACTCCAACAGCTCCCAAGGCATCTGTTCAACCCCCACCCGCCCTCTCACCAGATGTCACGTTTCAGCTTTTTTGTGAGTGGAGGCGGCGATGGACAGATTACTCCACGATGGTGGACCTTGACAGCATGCCTCCAAACAAACAGCTCATCCAACTGCAGATGTGTTTGTCGCTGGGGACCCAGAGAGTTTTGGAGCACACGTTGCAAGTGCCTCCCGATTCTACATCTTCAGTGACGGATGTGCTCGACCTATTACAGGAGCACGTTAAAGGTCGGAATAACGAGGCCTTGCGTCGCCGCGCCTTCACCAGCTCCAAGCAGGCAGAGAACGAATCCTTTGACGACTTTTTTGTACGTTTGAAGAGTTTGTCGGAGGAGATCGACGTCTGCAAGGCGCACAGCCGGGAATGTGAGGAAGCCTGGATCAAGCACGGGATCTTGACAGGTGTCAGGCAAGAATAGTTGGTGCAGCGACTCATCCCCCTGGACGCTTTCTCCACACTCCAGGTGGTAGTCACTGAATGTCGGTCAAACGAGGCCACCAAGTCCGCCACCTCTGCCTTACGGGCCCCACCTGCTGTGAGAGCTATCTTACAGTACAAGAAGGATAAGAAGGCGGCCAACAACGTGAAGGCTGCCGCACGTTCTTCCTGTGGCAGCTGTGGAAAGCAGCATGGCCCCAAGACATGCCCGGCCGCCGACGCACTGTGTCGTGGATGTGACCGTAAGGGCCACTGATCTAACACAGACAGGTGCCCTGCACGAGGCCACAAGTGTCAGGCCTGCGGTCGTTATGGACACTACGACAAGTGCTGCCGCCAACCCAAGCCCAAAAGCCCGAGACGAGGAGGAAAGCAGCGCACGTCCCTCGGGGTGGTTCGCACGCAGCCCCCTTCAGATGGCCCACGCAGTTCCAAGCAGCAGCTGAGTCACATCAGGAGGGTGGAATCGACCACACGCCCCAGGGCTACCCTTCCCCCACCATCCGCGTCGCCGTCACACACGGTGATGTGTCGGGTGACATCAAGTGATACCGGACACCAGCGCTGATACTACGGTGATTGGATTGAAGCACCTCCAGAAACTGGGCCTCACCAAACGCGACCTGGGACCACCGCCGCAGCTGCTGTACTACAATGCGGACTGTTCCCAGATGCCGGACGCTGTGGGCTCCTTTCAAGCGGAGATCACCTATGGCGACAGGTCGTGTCACGGATGGATGGACGTGCAGCCTACTCTCGCTACACCCTTGTTGTCGTGGGAGCACTGCAAGGAGTTAGGCGTGGTGCCCAGAGACTTTCCTGAGCAGATCCCAGCCGCTCGGTACACCGCCAGCAGGGTGTGTGAGTCAACGAGCGACGCGCCTGGCACTGCAGCATAGAGCTGCAAAACCAACGTCCACTCCCACCCACACAGGACGCTCCCCTGCCCAGATCCTGTATGGTCACCCTCTCTGCTCTTGCGTTCCTGCACACGCCAACGCCTTTGTGAAGGACTGGCAGACCAGAGCCGAGAGCTGCGACCGCAGGGCCGCTACACGTGCCCAGGACGCCAAGGCTCGGTATGACGACCGTGCCCGCCCTCTTCAGCCACTGGAGACTGGTGCCCTTGTCCGCGTCCAGGACCCGACGACGACACGTTGGGACAAGGTGGGCATAGTGATGGGCGTCGACCGGTCACGGGACTACAAGGTCAGGATGCCGAGCGGCCATGTCTGGTGGAGGAACCGCAGCTTCCTCCGGCCAGTCCCACCCCCTGCTGCTGGCCCCCTGACCGAGGACGAGTCCCCTACACCTCACGAGGATCTGCCCCACAGTGTACCTCGACGCTCGGAGCGACTAAGGACTAAGAAGTCCGCTCAAGACAAAGACTATGAGCGTGAGGGGGGAGGGAGATGTAGGTTATGTATCTATGCTACTGTGCCGAGTAGCATTTATATATGTAATTACGTGGCAACACTGCACGTGTTATGTGGCAACATTGCCCCGAGTCTGCCATATGGCATTATGGCAAGGCAGTCTCAGTCTGACTCTGTGGGCCGTGCATGGCACACGCTAGTCACCACTTGTATTTCTCCTATCCGTTAATAAATGGACTTCAGTGTTACCCCGTCACTGCCTTCTTCAGGTAACATTTGGAACCTTCAGACACCAGAAATAGATTGAAGAACTTTGCATGTGATATTATAGAGCCTATAGGCGAATGCTAAGAATAGGTTAGACTGACAGGAAATGAAATGAAGAAGTACAAAGATAAGCAAAAATTTCAGGAGACAAACCTGAAATGTACAGAAAAAGAAAAACGAGATAATTTAATCATAATTATGGGTAATGGATAATACAAAAATATTAATGGGTAAAGTTAAGGGTAGGGCGGCCAGGGTATGCCAGAAACGTGAATGGATGAATGAAATTGAAAACTGGGTCCAAAGAGAGATAAAAAACCTTGGAAGTTTGATAAAAAACAGCCCAAGGGCGTTTAGAGTGAAGGACTGCGGTCGTCAACCCTCAGATATGAGAACAGTACTCTGATTAATTGATATTGCCAGATATTATTATTATTGTAATTATTATTATTATTATTATTATTATAATTATTATTATTATTATTATTATTAATATTATTATTTTTATTATTATTATTATTATTATTATTATTATTATTATTATTATTATTATTGTTATTATTATTATTATTATTATTATTATTATTATTATTATTATTATTATTATTATTATTATTGTTGTTTAATTTTTTTATGGTTTCAGTAATAGAATATAGTGGAAGTCTCAGGGCACAACAGATACAAGAGTGTGACACATTTAGTTGATCAAGCCCAGAAATTCTTCTATATTGGAGGTAGACCATCACAATAGTTGGGTCAGACATATGCTTATTCCAGGTGAGGGTAAGCTTATGATTATTGCTAAGACAGGATAAAAAACCATAGAGGTTTTTACATTGTAGACGAAAAGGAGCTACTTCCATTATAGAAGAGAGAGAGAAGGACCTAGGAGTGGTGAAAGTAAGGCGGGTCTTGTTGGGGTATAGATACAGCACACTGTAAAGTAAGTCTTTTTACACCACAGTCGATCACCTTCACTTCTCTAGACATAAGGTCAGGTACCCATTCATAACTGGGTTAGACTGGAGATACCCCGGTGCGAACGAGTGACCTCAAGGACTGGAGGTGAGAGCTGCATCCACTAAACCGTCACACCCAAGACCTAAGCAAGACATGTAGGATTGTAGGACTTACCTAAAGTACGTGAAGATGAAGATGGTGAGGGTGAGGGTGAGGAGGGAAAGCAGCGCCCCGATGAAGGTGATGTACCGCACAGCGTCCAGCACTCCCGACCTGCCCGCCTGTGTGTGACACAACATGTGTGAGTCCTGCATCCCCGACCTGATTGCTTGTATGTGACACAATATGAGTGTGTGTGTCCAGCACCCCGACCAGCCCGCCTGTGTGTGACACAATATATGTGAGTCCTGCACCCCGACCTGCCCACCCATGTGTGTCACAACTTGTGTGAGTCCTGCATCCCAGATCTGCCCACCTTTGTGTGATACAATATGTAAGTCCAACACCCTGACCTGCTCGTTTGTCTGTCCCGCACCCCGACCTATCCACCGATGTGTGACACAACACGTATGAGTATTGCACTCCCGACCTACCAGCCTGTGTATGACGCAATATGTGTGAGTCATGCATTCCCGACCTGCCCGTCTGTGTATGATACAATATGTGAGTCATACACTCCAGACCTGCCAGAAATAATGCCTCTGCTGTATACAATAAAATTGGATCAACCTCTCCCCTCTCTCATTTCTTAAACTTAATCCATGAAATCCAACCACAGGTGACTCCTATAGTTTACCTATAGTTACAAATATTAGTTATATCTCACAATACCTGTTTAAAAAAGCAAAACAATGAATGCTATTACTACTTTTGAGTGTTTACTCATAATTTGAAGACGTTTGTCATGATATAAGTTTTCTATGACTTCTGGGACCCATTTTCTATAACAAACAAAAATTCTAAAGTTCCCCTTGCCGTTCTCTATCCGTTCTGAAAATAATGGTAATAGGTACAGTCTCAACCAAAAGTTGTTAACTCTCCCAGCCAGCTATTGCTGCACTGCTTACTTCAGATGTATGAGCTTGAGTCTGTTATTTCAAACCTTTAGATTCATTAATATCGGTTTCGTGTTCTGGTTGGTACTGAGACAGTTTCAAACATCTGTAGTAGGCAGTGCAGCAATAGCTGGCTGGGAGAGTTAACAAACTTTTGGGTGAGACTGTACCAGTTGAGCTTCCTAATCCTAACTAGATATTCCTTGACATTCAGCTATCCGTAACCACGCCCACCAACAAGACCACCCGTTTTCGCGTCTGATTTCTCAGTTCTTGGCAGGAGCAACTGTGAGATGGACCTCCTCCCCATAATGGAAGCGGCATATCAATATAAAGTAAAACCATCTGTTATCGCCACGTGCCTGCCACATGTTGAGTGAAGAAAATGTTTACAACTCAGAATAGCTTACTAAGCGAGATGGAGCTGGTAGCAGGCTGTGTGACTGCCTGAGGACCAGAGTCTCGCCTTCTACCGTAGAGGCAACATCTTGATTCTCGTTCAGCCAACATCTTCTTGGAGGATATTATATTTGTTCTAGTTGGTCTAACCCTAGACCCGAAAACGTGTGTGTGAATGTGAACTATTAAATCCTCTAAGAACTCTAAATAACTTTAATAACTGTATTTATGTACTGGGTATTGATCATATTATACAAACTGTGTCCTGATGTATCAGCAATTGTAAAATGTGAGTTATATTTTAGAGATTAATAGGTTATGCACTGTATATTGATCGTACTATTCAAACTGTGTGTCCTGATATACCAACAGTTGTTATATGTGAATAGTTTTTTTACAGGTTTTGACCTAATTATACTCATCTCGTCAACAACAAGGGTCTTATTGTCTTGCACAAACCAAAATCATTCCTATGAGCAATTACAGTCAAAACCTGAGTGTAAGGGCGGAAACGATCTTCCTGCTCGATACCGCTGCTAACTCTCTCGTTTGCTGGTGCGACCAACGCTTGGGGGGGTTGGACAGATGTGAGAACGGCAGCAGCTACATGTGTCACGGGCAGATTCACTCCATACAGTCACTATCTAGCTACCCGGCTGTTCGTCAAATTCTGGCTGTGATCTCATCATAGGTCCTGGACTCGTGGGCTGTTTTCCCAGACCTTCACCTATTGACTGTCAATTCTCTGGTCATCTACCACTACCGCATACCACGACCATCAGTTCATCTCCTCCGTCTGTGCAATAGGCAGCTGTTGCTCGAGTGTGGAGTTGAATGGAAGCTTCCCTCCCCTGAGTGTGGATCACCGTGTTCCAGAACCTTCCCCCAGGGCCACTGCCGTAGGAAATATCTGTTCATTGTTTGATTCTTTTGTTGTTGATTCTTTAATTGCTGACTCCCTTTCATTGTTTGATTCTATCAGTTGTGGACCCCCAGTAATTGTTTGATTCCATTAATTGTTTGACTCCATTAACTGTTTACTGCATTAATTGTTTGACTCCCGTAATTGTTACTTGATGTTTGTTGAGTGGTGTCAGAGTTTTGTGTTATATTTTTTATAGTAAAGAGCTGTCAATCTCAAACGGTTGTTTGTTATTCCTCAGAAAACCATGGTCCTTGACTTTCCTTTATTAAGAACCTGATTAGTCTGGTAAGGGATTTCTATCCCTTAGTCCCAGGCCTTTACATTGAGATAGGACCATCGTGGGAGCATCTGAGAATCGCGTCATCGCAGGGAGAGGAAGGAAGAGGACCTTTGTCAGAAAAGACTGGACGTCGTGTCAATATTGTTGGGACGATCGCGCGCGATTGTTAGTGTTCTTTGTGGATAGCCGCACTGGCAAACTCGAGAACTGGTGTCAGAAAAGACCGGTCTCGGTGCCAAAATTGTTCGGACAAGTGCGTGGGAGTGTTACCGTTCATTACGGATAGGCCGCGAGGACCCGTGTCAGATAGGAGCGGTCTCAGTGTCAATAACATTCGTGCGAAAAGGCGGGCGAGATAGTGATGAAAGCGTACAGCCAGACTAGATCGCCAAGTTTAAGTAGTAGCTGATACTGGTGTATGTGTGTGTGTAAATAAGAAATAACAACGAGGGTTGTGATAGCTAAGTAACGTTGTGTAAGTAAGGGCACTGCAGTAGTGTTTGTGACATCAGCTGTGTAATGAGTCCCTACATTGATTGTGGGGTCTCTGTGGTCATGTAAGTGTGACATCACTCGTGCTTATTCCACGTCACGTGTTTGAGGGACGTCGCTCGTGTGTATGGCACGTGTTTGTGTGACATCACTGGTGCGTGTTGCATGCGCTTGTGTGACGTCACTCGTGTGTATGGCACTGTTTGTGTGACGCCACTCGTGCGTATGACACGCGTCAGTGTGACATCAACTCCAATTGTGTGATATAAACGATTGTGGGACGCCATCATAAGTAGTAGCTGATGCTAAGCGTTACTGCATACATTTATCGAGCAAGACAGATCACGCTCGCTGTTCTGGCAGTCATGGACGTGAAAGGGAATAAGTCAAAAGTGGGGAGCGTGTCCGGCGTGGAACAAGGAGACACTGTCGACGTAGAAACCGACGTCTCACCCACCCCGCCAAGGCAGCGTGTGATAAACCTGTCTCCCGAGAAGAGAAAGGAACCACCAACGATGGGATTGAAGGGAAATTATGTGAGCAATACCAACAGATGCAGCAGATGTTCGCTCACATGACAGCGATAATGCAGAACGTCACCGAAGGTATGAATCGACTACAAAGTAAGGGCAGCACAGCAGATCGCGGAAAGGTGTTATCACTACTAGAGACAAGACCTTCCTCTGAAACTGAAACTGACGAAGAAACGCTATATACTCCAAGGGGACTCCCGGCGCTCACCTTAACCGTGGAGCCGGGAACATTTCACCAGGGGGAGTGTGGAAGTACTTCCGAGCATCAAGCTCGCTCACCGAAACCACTAACGTTGATGAAGGACCAAAAGGACGACCCGCCTACGTCCGAGGGCTGGATGAGAGAACTGTTAGAAAATATAAGGTTCTCCCAAAGGCCGACGCCGAAGTTCAGTGGAGGGACTTGTAGTGAATACTGGGAGTTCAAGTGAGTCTTCCAGCGACACGTTGGGATGGTGCAGATACCTGATGCTTTGAAATTAGAGACACTTTTCGTCCCCTACACCGGCCCCGCTAAGGACGCTTTGCGGGGATGCCTGCAAATTCAAGATCCCAAAGCAGTGTACATGGAAGCTTTGGACATATTAGAGAAACGTCACGGCAACACGCACACTTACGTCTGCCAGCTAATAAAGAAGGCCCTGCGAGGTCCACCTGTGAGACTAAATGACACAAGAGGCCTCCAACAGTTCTCAGACGAACTGGGGAATTGCGTGAGGAACTTGAAGGTCCTGGGAGAACTACGTCAGATTGACATGTATGAATCAATAAGCACGTTAGCTGAGAGATTCAAGGGAAAGATAAGGGACGACTATGTGGATACGGCATATAAATACAAAAAGAAGTGGGGGAATCCTCCTGGGATCGAGTGGATGTTGGAATTCACAATGGATATGGTCGACAAGGCGGAGGAGGCCCCAAAAGGACAAGGACAGGAAGAACCAAGCAGAATATAAGCAGACTCACGTCAATCCTCGTCGAGGAAGAAACTTGTGGGTCTGGTGACATCAGGAATAAAGACAACCAGAGAAACGTACGGTGAATGCTGCTCGTTATGCAGCAGAGATGACCTTCTTCAGATGTGCCGGACATTTTTCAGCATGGCCACAGGATAGCAAACTTCCCTCGTAAGGGAAGAACGTCGCTGCTTCGCCTGCCTGGATCGAAATCACCGGATAACTGAGTGCAGCCAGAAGATGGTATGTGGTGTAGATGGTTGCTCTGGACTACACTCGAGGCTTCTGCACTTCACGGGAGTTCTGACGAGCAGTGGCAAGGCGCAACGGGGCGAAGTTGAAAAAGGAGAACACCAGATCAGCTTGCAAAGGGTGAAGAGAGCAACCACAGGGGGCGCCTACCAAATAGACATATCACCTGACCATAAGCGACCTAGAATGAGTCAACTTAAGGCCATTATGCCACCACTGGAATCGGCAACTAGTGGAGCTAAATTATGGAAGACCGAAGCCGGTACAGCACCATGGGCGAAAGAAATCCGCATAGATGGGTCAGGGAAACCATAACCAACAACTGAATTGATGATCGGCGTGAAGAACCCAACAATTGCGAGTTGTGACTACAAGGGTCCAGTAGAGTC